ATGTTTTTGAAGTAATTGTGTTGTAGTTTTGGGTGTTGAAAAACAAGCTATTTGAAGATATTTCAAGGTTGTTCCTTCTAGTAATGCATAGTCTTGTAATTCTTTAATTCGTTCATCCATATCTGTTTCTTCAACTAGCGCCCTCAGTATTTGGCCAGCAATATGTGGAATAGAAATACATGGTGATTGGAATAACATAAATACATCTCTTCCTAATCCACTAATTATATTCATCATTCTATTGAACATATTAAATTCTGTGGTATAAGAATATGGTTCACAAACAATATATTTAAAAGCTGTAACACAACCATGGATGACAAGGGGAGACCCTTTTTTAATATTACCAACTAATGTAGCAAAGATTCTCTCAGGAATTCCATGTGTCATAACTTCTAATTTACCTTTTTTTTCAATATTTTCGTCAGCACTAGAACATAATAAGATTGATGTAATTCTTAATGCCCAAAATAATACAATTGGTTTAACACTTTGGAGTGCCATTCCAATTACTTCTGTTACTTTTTCTGTTATACGCTTATTCTCTACAAATGACTCATATCCAATTCTAGTTGATAACAATCTATGTAGACATTGTAAAAATCCTTCTCCAGGTTTTCCTATTGTTAATAATTTTTCTAATGCTTGTATAATTAATTTTGAACGACTAGCTTCAGCAAATTGTGGTCCAGAAGGTGGCATATTATTATTTAATAAGAAAACATGAATCATAAATAATTCCACTGCTTCAATTCCAGTAATTTTTGTTGGATCAAAATTAGCAATATTCTTTAATAAAGTAAGTTCACTTTGTCCACATTCACTTGCTGTCATTCTTTCAATAATCAATGAACCAAATCTTGGGATATCAGAAATAATAGGATCAGCTTTAGCTGCTAATGAACAATCGAATAATGTAGCAATAAATGCTTCTCTTTGACTAGTATAATATACTCTTTGATTTCCATCTGCAAAAGTAACAACTACTTCCATAGCATCACGACCTCTTAAGATATGAATAACATCGTTTAATGCTCTTGCATACTTAACCGTATAAGAAGATGCATCTCTTTCAACAAACCATTTTTCAGTAAAACAAATAATTCTTTCTATCTTTCCAGGTCCATGTGAAGCTTTTAGTTCTACTAAAGAACCACCATCTTCTTGTTCAACTTTTCTTATATTTGATGACTTAAATAAATTTTCAATTGATAGCTCATTTCCAACAGACATTTTAATTCCAATTTGTTTACATCTCGTTAGAATTTCTGCAGCAAATTTCCTTCTATCAGAAAAAGAATAAATTATAAATTGATTCCCATCAAAAACTAATGCAATAGACTGACTATCATCTAATGGTATAATTCTAATAATATCTGTTAGTAAAATGATTTTTTCTTTCTTTCCAGGCTTGTTTGACATTTCAATAATTCCATAAGGTTGAATTTGAATACATATATCAATTGACTGTTTATTAACTTTAATTTTCTTGGCATTAAATGTTGTAAATTCTTGGTGTTTTGTTTTGTATTTATATTGCAATAATAAACATAATAAATAACTTCTATTATTTGAAAGCATCTTATGTTTTGTAGATCCTACTACAATAATAAATTCTTCACTGTTTTGAATTGATGGTTGAATTCCAACTATACTTTGCCAATCCCAAACATCTACTGTTTCATAACTTGTATTAGATATTAATGCAACAAAATTTTTTGAAATACATATTTGAAGGTCTTCGTTTGAAATCCAACCAACTCGTTTTACAAGCATTCTTTTCTCAGTCATTTGAGAGAAGAATTTAACGCTCTGACTACCAGTAGGTATTTTAGATATTTCTATTGACATTAAACTTTTTTAGTTCCAGAATAATTGAGAAACAAATAAAAAAATGTTTGAATTAATCAACTACTCACTTTTTATATCCTTCTCTTTTTATTCAAGATTTTAATCTTTAAATTAATTATTTCTTTTAATGCAATTTGGTGCTATTGGACTATCTATTAAAATGAATATTTTTACTATGTGTTGTTGTTTTGTGTTTGGTATTAATTATTTATTACTATACGCTGCCTTTACACACAGTGATATTGGTAAATCAATATCAATTATTTCATTTGTTGATGGAATAGGGGGTATAATTACATTAATAATACTTTTAATTCTTTCTTACTTGCCTTGTGCAAAAATTAATTATAAAATTTTTGGTATTTTTACATTAGCCACAAATTTTATATTAACTAGTATATGTACTGTCTCATCTTCCATTAATATGTTGAGTCCAATTATTAATAAAACGTATCTTTATCTTATTGTAGAAATATTCAATTCAAGTCTTCCACCATCAAATTTTTTTGTATTTTTTAATTTGAGTTATTCATTATCATCACAACACACAACTTTTTATATCACTGGATGCTCATTTGGAACATTTTTAGCTTGTATATTAGGGTATGCAGAAATATCTGAGTTTGTTGCTTTTTCTATTGTAACTTTATTTTCATTAGTTGGATTGATCCTTGTTATTATATTATTTATATTTACACCTCAAATATATGATTTTCTTAAATGTCAAGAAAGAATACTATATCAAGAAGAGTATATTGGTCTTGATGATCCATTACCAAAATATAATGTTGTAAGAATATTTAAAACGACTATAAAAGAGATGAGACATTCATTAATAACAATATTTTGTTGTTACTATATTGCCATTTATCTTGTTCCTCGTTTTATAAATCCAGTTCAACGTTACTTTAATTGTTATAATGATAATATGGACTATGATGAGAATAATTATTATTATCAACTCATTCAATTAGTCGGTTTATTGTATTATGCTGGTGATGTTATTGGAAGATTTGTTGAAATATTTGCAAAACCACATATTAAAGTAGTATTAATATCAAGTGTTATTAATGTTTTGATAGCAACAATAACCATCTTACCGGTTTACTTTTGTACAGCAGGGAATATTTCACATGCAACTATAGCCGAAAAAGTTATGTTAGGCTATGCACCTTTATTGGGACTGGTTAATGGATTTATTGTTTCATGTGCTATCGAATATTCAATTTCTCAAGTTGAACCACGTTTGGCTGTGGCTTTAGTTTTACTTTTTTTATATCTTGGAATATTTGCAGGAGATATAAGTCAATTATTAACATCAGGATTAGATTTATATCTTTCATCATCTCAAAAAGATTGTTCTCCAACTTTTGTCTAATTAACGAAATTATTATTTACTTTGAATATTTTATTTCTTAAAATTCTTGATAAAATAATTTCAATATTTATTTTTAATTTTCTTGGATTTTTTTTAATCATCTTTGAACTTTTTTTTCAGTTCTTTAAAACATAATATGGAAGAGAAAACACAAGGATGGCTTATGAAAGAAGGT